TTATTTCCATTTCTTTATGTTAAGAAGCACTTTTATCATGACATTTTATAAACATTCAGTTCCTTGCAAAGGCTAGCTGTTATATTTTTACATCTTTTTCATTTGAAGACAACCAACTGAAAACGAATAATTTGATATTTGGAATAGAAAACCCTTGATATTAGTATTAAACTATTGGAAGGTGAGATCGTCTTTGGGAAATGAACTCTAAAATCTTTACAAATGACAAACAAGAAATAAAAACCAGTATGGCGGTACATATTTTTTTGCGTCATTTACTGCTTTTAAATTCCAGTTGTGGATATATGGATGCATTTTGCTCTTAAATGATCATAGGCGTTGTAAATGTTTTACTAAATATCTCAATGCTGTAGACCAGTATGGTGGTACAGCATTTTTGTGTGTCGTTAACAATTGCTTTTTAATCCAATTATGGAGTGATGGATACTTTTTATTTTTGAATGATCAGAGGCGTTATAAACTGTTTTACTGATTATGTTCATTCGCTGAATATATGTTTATCAACTTGACTTCTCACTTCGTTTGATTTATAATCGTTTTAACATGAAAGTCGTAGCACGTATATCGGGGTAAATGAGTTCATTGACTTATGAGACGAAAGCTTAACAAGGTCATTAAGTTGAAGCAATTACGACAAAGTTATTCGGTTTAGATTCATATTTATTAGAAGCTATTTATTGAAATAACAGGTGCAAATCACTTTTAATTTCGGTAACGTATTACAATGTTATTACTGGTATGTAATGCATTGTACGTATTGCATTGTTTAAACGTGTACATATTGCATTGTTTGTAAGAGTTAAAACACCTTAAAACACAGAAAAAACACCTTTTTATCTAAGGGCCATAACTCGGCCAAAAATCATTGAACCGGAAAATTCTGACAAAATGCACAACTAGACTTGGTACTGATCATTCCTGTAGTTTGGATGAAATTGCACCAGTAGTTTATGAGGAGTAGTCCGGACAAGTTTTGTGACGGACGGACAGACAGACAGACGACGGAGAAATGATCCCTATATGCCGCCACTACTCCGTAGAGGCGACACAAAAATGATGCATGCTGTGAACATGACAGCCAGGTCAGAGCTCAAAGTTAAAACCAGGGTAATTCAAATAACCATTAGGATTTTTCTTCTAAATGCCACTGTTTGAAAGAACAATGTTGACTAACCAGTCTTACTTGTATGCAAAACTCACTTTTTCAATTATACATCAATAACAGTGGTTAAAATATAAACAAATACTTTTCTGACAAATTCTAAATCATTACTGACATGATAACTGAGAAAAACTAGAAATGTGTCAATAGGACACGGATGCCCCTACACGCCACTGTTCTGTCAATCTTATGACTCTAGGTCAAATAGTTTTTGGACTACATGTGCCACAAGTTGAAAACTAAAAATCAACAAAGGGCCATAATTCTGTTAAATTTGGTTGCAGCAAAAATTCCTTCCTTTACTACCATCTACACATTAAGTTTGTTAATCCCGGTAAGTTTAAGCAAAATCTGCCATCCGGTTAAAGAGGAGTTGCATTCACAAAATTTCTACATAGTATATAGGGATGGAAATGTGTCCATAGGACACGGATGCCCCTACACGCCACTGTCCTGTCAATCTTATGACTCTAGGTCAAATATTTTTTGGACTACATGTGCCACAAGTTGAAAACTAAAAATCAACAAAGGGCCATAATTCTGTTAAATTTGGTCGCAGCAAAAATTCCTTCCCTTACTACCATCTACACATAAAGGTGTTCATCCCTGGAAGTTTAAGCAAAATCTGCCATCCGGTTTAAGAGGAGTTGCGTTCACAAAATTTCTACATAGTATACAATGAAAAAATCAACAAAGGGCCATAATTCTGTTAAATTTGGTTGCAGCAAAAATTCCTTCCTTTACTGCCATCTACACCTTAAGGCAGAGCTCCAGATAATTTTTTTGGCCAAGGGGTTTTTACCCCTCAAAATTTAGAGTGAGGGGTAAAATGCAAATTTTGAAAAACTTAAGGGGTAAAATCTGTCAAAAAAGCATTTTGCATTTTTTATGAACAAATTAAACTTATTGTTTTGTTTGTTTGTTTATTTTCTTTTTTTAGAAAAACCTTTACAAATTAAATACTGATTTAATGTGAAACAATACAAAACATCCCATGTAAAGTCAGACTTCCAAAGTATACTGGAACTCAAGTTTAGGATACACAGCAAAATTATCAGGGCTTCCATTTTCAAAATTTGGAAGTCAAAGACTTCAAAATCTCTGATATTGGAAGTCACATTATATAGGTAAAGAAGGAAAAGTATTGATTTTCGGAAGTCACAGGCCAAAATGAAGGAGTAAATGACTCCCAAACTTCCACTAGTGGAAGCCCCGAAATTATTTTATTTTTTAGGAGTCAATATTTTTCTTTCTTTATTTCTGTTGGCATGTACCTTATCATGTACTCCAGTTCGAACAATTATAGTTGAAATTAGAATTAAAGAAACATTAACAAGATTTTTTTATCTTTCCTTAAAAAAAGTATTGGTCTGAGAGAAAATTGTCCGTAACTGTAGACTGGGTACGAAAATATTGAGTACAAAACTGCAGGTGAAAAACATGTTATTTTGTTCCAGCAACAAAAGTTGAAGAAATTAAAATATATTTTTGTTTATATTGAGGCATAAGCATGTCAATAGATGCCTAACAAAAACATAATACTGTGTTAACTCCTACGATGATTATCTGGCACAAATTTCTTCAATAATTCCACAAGTTGGTCTACGGGAGTTACCTCCCTTCTGTATTTCCTTTAACATGCGTTATTGACAACAGAATTTAAATTTTCTAGTTTTCAATGCAATAAAATGGAAATTTATTGTATTTTTATGCTCAAACCATTTTCTTTCTTCATATCAAATGTTTACACTTCTATTCTTTCACGCATAAATTTTGACATAGGAGCGTATTTTCATTTTGTTGTGCGTAACTGTGACGCACGAATTTTAAAAGTGATGCGTATTTTAGATTTTCTATGCGTATTTTACGCTTATACGCACGCTATCTGGAGCTCTGTTAAGGTTGTTCATCCCTGGAAGTTTAAGCAAAACCTGCCATCCGGTTTAAGAGGAGTTGCATTCACAAAATTTCTACATAGTATATAATAGTGAAAAAATCAACAAAGGGCCATTATTCTGTAAAATTTGGTCGCAGCCAAATTTCCTTCCTTCACTACCATCTACACCTTAAGGTTGTTCATCCCTGTAAGTTTAAGCAAAATCTGCCATCCGGTTTAAGAGGAGTTGCGTTCACAAAATTTCTACATAGTATATAGTGACAAAATCAACAAAGGGCCATAATTCTGTAAAATTTGGTCGCATCAAAAATTTCTTCCTTTACTACCATCTACACATAAAGGTTGTTCATCCCTGGAAGTTTAAGCTAAATCTGCCATCCGGTTTAAGAGGAGTTGCGTTCACAAAATTTCTACATAGTATATAATGAAAAAATCAACAAAGGGCCATAATTCTGTTAAATTTGGTTGCAGCAAAAATTCCTTCCCTTACTACCATCTACACATAAAGGTGTTTCATCCTGGAAGTTTAAGCAAAATCTGCCATCCGGTTTAAGAGGAGTGCGTTCATAAAATTTCTACAAAGTATATAATGAAAAATCAACAAAGGGCCATAATTCTGTTAGCATTTGGTTGGCAGCAAAAATTCCTTCCTTTACTGCGGATCTACACATTAAGGTTGTTCATCCCCTGGAAGTTTAAGCAAAATCTGCCATCCGGTTTAAGAGGAGTTGCATTCACAAAATGTCTACATAGTATATAGTGGAAAAATCAACAAAGGGCCATAATTCTTGTAAAATTTGGTCGCAGCGAAAATTCCTTCCTTTTACTGCCATCTACACATTAAGGTTGTTCATCCCTGTAAGTTTTAAGGCAAAATCTGCCATCCGGTTTAAGAGGAGTTGCGGTTCACAAGATTTCGGGACGTACGGACGGACTGAAGGACGGACAAGTGCAACGCTATATGCTCCCACATTGTGGGGGCATAAAAATGAACAAAGGGCCATAATTCTGTTAAATTTGGTTGCAGCAAATATTCCTTCCTTTACTACCATCTACACATAAAGGTTGTTCATCTCTGGAAGTTTAAGCAAAATCTGCCATCCGGTTTAAGAGGAGTTGCTTTCACAAAATTTCTACATAGTATATAGTGAAAAAATCAACAAAGGGCCATAATTCTATTAAATTTGGTCGCAGCGAAAATTCCTTCCTTTACTACCATCTACACATTAAGGTTGTTCATCCCTGTAAGTTTAAGCAAAATCTGCCATCCGGTTTAAGAGGAGTTGCGTTCACAAGATTTTGGGACGGACTGACAAGTGCAACGCTATATGCTCCCACATTGTGGGGGCATAAAAAAATCTTATTTAAATTTACTTACATGTTAAACTGTCAAATCCTTTTTTGTGCCAGGCAGTATCTACTGCACTGGACATACCACTGCGGGTTTTACAGGGAAATTTCGGGGAAAGTCTTAATCTGCTGTGAGGTTTTTCAAGATGTGGACCACTTCTGATTTGTTTTCAACCTTTGACTGTCTGTGAGAACTGTAATTGTAAAAATATATTTCAAAAATATTTTCTGTATTTTAAAATTCATCTTTAAACGTAATATTGACAAATATTGAAGATACACCAATGAATTGACAATAACTTATTTATAATTAATGTAACACAATGTTCATACATTTTGTTAATTTTTAATGCTGATTGCACGACTTTTTCCTGACCAATTTTAGTAATCATTTTATGAAATAATTCAGACTGCATATCGATTATTCATCACATGAAGATACATCAAATTGTTTCTATTAAAGACAACCCCAAATAGCATTACAAAATTATCACAGTATTATCATTTAATTGCTACACCATGATTATAAATATATATAAAAAAACCTCATAGATTTCAACTTACAGTTTATTAGGCATTTTTGTTTGATGTATTGTTGAGGATTGTTCATCACAATTGTATAAATCTGACCATTCACTGTCATTTGTAACTGTAGCATCTGACTCAAGAATAGACCTTGAATAAAAAGAAAATACATATGTACAAACAGTATATGGAGAGATATTCATATATTGAAGCAATTGACCTAACACAAACAGTTTAACAACACCAGTCAGTTTTGCATAGTCCTTTACTTTCGTAAATAAACAAAATACAGAAAACAAACTACCAGTACTCACTTTAGTGCTGGCGAGGCATCTGGCAAAGGACATCCTCCAAGATCTTGTCAATAAGACCTTCTCTTCTGATACCATTGATTCTTCATGATGCACATCCCTTAAAAAGAATGCATGTATTTAATAAGAATTTTAGTCTTAAACCAATGAAGGTAAGTTTGTCATGTAGAAATAAATACTTTTTTTAAAAAACAATTACACATTCATGTTATTTTGAAAAAAAAAATATGTACATGAATATAGAGTAACATGCAAAAACAACAAAGCCATTGTTTAAAAATTCTTTTCTCATATATGGATTGTATAATATTCTTTGGTTCCCTAAACCACGAGTGTGCCAGCAATATAGCATTATACCATGACAAGCTGCATAGACATATAATTACAAAATAATTTTTGAAATTCTTCCAATTCAATTACATGTTATTTCGAAAATATCATTGTAAATATGTCTTACTCCATTTCCTTGATCTTTGTTCTTTCGCAGCAGATTCTGTCGACATAGAAGCCACTGTCTCAATGATATTTCCAACACGTCTCTCCATTTCTTTTCATGTTTTTATTTCCAATTGTTGGTATATAGAGTGTTGACAACAAATTGTTGACCCTAACCGGCCCACCTACACTATCAATCATTGCTGTAAGAAAATGAAAAGAAACAAATTATTTCATATAAGTGTCCAAAAAAACTTCACATGGATTGTAATTTACATAACCGTGATAATAACACATTGCATAAATTTATATAGAGCTATTTTTAGCTGCCTCATGTATGTTGAATATTACTGTGACTGTGTGTATTGGCAGCCTAGTGTAAACTGTGTCTTTTATATAATGTACATGTAGGATTCTGTAATGTCTTACTAAAATTGCATTGTTGCAAGATTTAATTTAGCAACGTTTTATCATTTGTTTTTCAAATTTCTCAGTGACTTTGGGGAAATTAAAACAGTTCAGAGGGAAGTTTATAAAAAATTTCACAATAGGAAGTGGCTAGCCGTACGGGCCCGTACCGCTAGCCAAAAGTTTTAGCCGTACGTGAGTCACGTACGACTAGCCAGGACACACTGTATTGGCTAGCTGTACGGCACTTTTCAAAATTATATGGAGTACGTGAGTCACGTACGGCTAGAACTTTTGGCTAGCCGTACGGGCCCGTACGGCTAGCCACTTCCTTCACAATAAGGAGTAGTGTTTTACAGCTCAACACAAACAAGATACATGTAATGATGAATTCTGTATAATAAATTAATTATTTATAAATCTGAAACATAAATTTGGTCCGCATAATTTCTCTCATAATTTTACATGTTTGACATCATCACTGATCATTGGAAGACAAGTAGATAAACACTGATAAATCATTATTAAATGTATATTCATTTTGGTACGAGACCTTACATCTATGAATTAATAATCAGTATATATTACTTAATCTAAAGTATGATGCAATACATTAATCACTTACCTGTTCCTAATTTTGTGTTGACAACGAAACATGGCATTCCAACTTTCCCAGGACTTCAATCTACTAGAGTCTATGTGTTTTTCCATGACCGCATTCTGTTTTTCGACATTTCACATACAAATATCCAGACACACCCTGTTTAAATTCACCTAACATGTTGTCAAAAGTTAATGGTAGCCTACTGGTCCAAGTCTACATTTTTTACAAAATCTTAGGTTTGACCGTAACACGGCAAACTCAACGGTAGTCAGACTATTCTCTCCCTTACCAGTTCCTCCCCTGACGTTTCCTCCCTGACGGTTCTCTCCCTATTTTGGGGGAGAACCGTCTGCATATTTGCAAATAAGCAGACAGTTCCTCCCCATCTTTATTTTTATTAATACGTTATTGTCGAAGTATTTAGATGTTTAATAAATGAATACAATGTAAGTGTATTATTAAATTATAATATTAATTGATATAAATTAGAAAAAAAAATATTTTATTGGAGTATTTAGATGGGCATGTTTATGATTAATTGACATAGATTAGATAAAAAGTTTTCTTTTAGCATATTAGTATATTATTCTGATATTTTTTATTAGCTCTAACGTATACTTTTTAATGTGTTTAATTTACTTGAATAGGATAATCATTCGATATTTATTATTAGGTGAGTTTTTTTTTTTGTTTTTGTTTTTTTTTAATAAATAAGAAAAAAAATTATAAGAAAAAAATGATTTATAAATTTTAATTGCTAAATTTCATACTTTTGTATAATGAAGAAAGGAGTTCAATACACATGTGCGTTAAGTTTGCTGTCAGAGATAATTAAGGTGTTTATTAATTCATTATTCAAGAATCAAGGTGTAATCTAATGATTAAAATAACTGTGAAAAGGTGTTGATAAACAAATATTTTTATTACTTATTTGGTAATATATATTGTTTTATGTTAATGACTACATGTTCTTTAATCAATTTTGAATAAAAGTAAATGTGAAATGTGATTGCATACCAGTTATTGCCTTTTTTATTTTCTATTTAGGATACTTGTAACCACCTTATTCACTATTTAACAAATGAATGAATATCACTAGACCTTCACATAATTACAGGTGTATGTATATCAATCACTGTCCATTAAAGACACCTCTCACAATGAAGGTGTTAATAAGATTAAAATATGAAAGGTGTTAAATTTACAAACACTTTTCAGAATCAAATAATCATAAAATGCACTTTTAATACTTAATATCAAATACATTCTTTTAATAATCTTCAAGAAATATTATTAGATTAGTAAAAACTAAAATGATAACTAACAAATAAAATTTGGGGGAGAACTGTCTGCATATTTCATATTTGGGAGAGAACCGTCAGGGGAGGAAACGGTTAGGGAGAGAACCGTCAGGGAGAGGAACTGGTAAGGGAGAGAATAGTCTGTCATTCAAACTCAACGACAACGATTCTTCTTCCCTCTTATCAACCGATTTAGGAAGAGTTGATGTTTTGTAGAGCTGGTTTGGTTGACCCGTAATACTGGTTATCTGCACTATAGTTATGTTCTATGATTAAGTCGGAATACTTGGGTTTTCTGCATCTTTTTACACTTTTTTTGAATCGACCGAGCGTATCACGCCTGTAAGACGCCATGTTAGATATCTACGGAAATTACGTCATTTTCTTGGGGAATACTACCACGTGACCGAGGATATCCGCTATTATTAGAATTCCGACTTTATACGTAAACAAACGAAGTTCGTTACGATAAATGGCGAGATATGGCGGTAATTGTCGAAGATTGCCGATTTCATTATGGGTCTTCTACCTTATAATTTTTTAACTGTTATTGTGAACTACAATACCCTCCATGATACATAATATTATGATGTTTCAATTTGATAACTCTTAGGCAAAAAATAAAAATATGTTTGTTTCCATTTCCCGACCCATTAAAATAGGGTTGGGTAGGTAGGTAGGTAGGTTAATTATAGGTAGGTACATGAAGGACTTTTTTATATGTGCATAATAATATACATGTAATTCCTTAGCAAAATAGTTATTTACTGAACAAAGTTGGATTAACTTTCAGAACTGATATGTTTGTGGCGATTATCTGGCAAACTTGCTTTTATAGAAAAGTTTCTGGTGAACTTTCAGCGAATATTTTTTTTGATAGAAAGATTCTGGCAATCTGTGGCAAATTAGTTTTCCACTGAAAGTTTTTGGCAAACTTTTGGCGAACAACTTAATATTCTGGTGAATTCGCCGCAAAGTCGCCAAATGTTTGCTACAGAGTTGCCACTAGTGGCGATATCTTGCAAACACTTGACACGGTGTTTCGGCGAACTAAAAGGTTTGCAGCGAATTTGCGGCAAAGTTGCGGCGAGTTTACGGCAAACCTTTCCTTTTGGTACGGGTATGTATTGCATTGTTTATAATAGTATTTATAGCATTATTAAGACTTCGTATTGCATTGCTGTTTCAAGAATGTTCTGTCTGGTTTTTACGAGCTCGAGCGCGTATTGCATTATGATATATGCATTTTGCGGAAATGCTAGCACTAATTTCCTTAAGCGTAACATTGTCTTGATAAAATGATAGTGTTTAGTGAATTTACGTTATTAATCCAAAATCTAAATTTATTTTGCACAATCTGGTTCTTATTACAAACGATTTGTGCCAAAATATTTTATTTCACATTTCGTTTTTCTTTTATTGTCAATAATTGGCACTTTAGTCTTCAAACTTAACAGATAGGAAATTTGAACTGTTATCTTGATAATTAAGGTGAACGTCTTTTCATTCAACGTATTAATGTCATATTTACCAAGCAATATGCTCTCACCGTTCTTTTTTGTAAAGGATCACGGGGTTGTTTTAAATAAAGCGTTTTTACGCTAAAATTACTATTTAAGGAAATTTATCTAGACAATCTCATACTCTGTTGAATCACTTTAATGGGATATCGTTTACCGCGTGTTTTATACAGACATGTCTATATTTAAAATATTTAAGATAAAGTATTTTATGAAAACAGTGTGCATGGACAGTTTTCGTGACAAGCCTAAATCTGAACTTTTAATATGTTATGTTTTTATTTTGAACTATTCGTTCTTATCAAAATAAATACAATATAAACACATGTATAAAAATAGTCATTTTACGCGATGTTATCACGCAATTGTGACCAAAACAATACAAATCCGATTAACGATAAAGATATTTTCTCCATATAGAAGTAAACAAATAACATTGGGACATTGACTCTATACTTCTCTTTCATGACAAAGGTTATGGTCTTATGAGTCATTTTATCACAACTTTTCAAAATCATAAAGCGTACGAAGTTATGTTACAGACAAAACTGTGACAATCTGTTTTATTATAATTATGCTAACGTTTGATAAATAATATACAGTCTAACATGCAGGGATCTGAAAACGACTTTACAAGAGTGCGTTATTAAACATTATGTGTGATATATATGGCTATACTACCATAACTACCCTACTACAAAATGAACCATAAAGTTTAAAATTATTTAAAAGAGACACTTAAGAAAAGTTGGAAATTGTGTGTAAGTAAGATATACGGCAACAATACATATCTATTACGAACATAAAAAACAACAAACAAAAAATAAAAAAAGAACAACAAAAAACAAAGACATATCTAACCACAGAAAAAGCATTTAAGGTATTACCACCCTAACGGGCACTATAAGGAACTGAAAAAGTTATATCATAGGTCAGATATATACCTTAAAGTACACCTGTATGCAAAATTTAAACAATCTTTACCGTACGGAAATCGAGTTATGGCCACTTTTATGAACTGAAGATAGGGTGTATGAGGGCCCTTTTTCAGAAATGAGTAACCTTTAAAAAATCTGCAATAACATTCTAATGAAAAACGTTTTCCCTTTAATTTTTGGTAAGAAACAAATAGTACTATTCAGCTAACAATCATCATATTAAACAAAATTATGGTTTCTACTCAAAATTTATAAAATATGTATAAAAATGTTACCCTACCCCATCCATTTTTAACACGTGTTTGATAATTTTTCTACTTATGGGGCCTAATTTAAAAAATCCTTAAAATTTACCCAAATGAGTGCCTGTTTTCAAAGTTTCCCTAAATTTTAAGAAAAGTATATTGGTTGATCTTGTAAAATATATAATACTTTTACCGTCTAGTTTTGATTTTATTACACTTTGAAAATATCAGGTATCATATTTATTACTAGATTTAGCTTTATTTAGGCAATAAATACCTATATAAATTAAATAATAAAAAATAAACACTTTTTCTACCCAAAATGGATGGAGAGATACATAAATAACGTTAAAAGAAAAAAAATAAAAAAAATTGACCCATCTGAGGTTTGAACCCATAGCCCTCAGTTTCAATGTAGTTAACAGTAGTTCTAGCCTATTTGAGTACTCTTCAAAGCGAAGGTAGGGCATTAGGATGGTAATACCTTAAAACAAAACGTATAGTACATTTGATAGACTTGTCTTGTAAATATCCATTTACACCATTTTCATCCTTTTCAGATAGCACTTACTTACGCAGAATCTAGAAATAAGTCGTGTAGATATTTATTGCACCAACAGACGAAACCCTTGAAACTCATGTCATGTAATTATTACCTATCTGTTTCTTTGACAAATTGTAAGGTTTTAATCATTGATTACTTCCAAAATAAAGCGTTAATGCACATTTTTAGTTTACATTCATGCTTTAATGCCGATTAAATATACACGGTACAGAAACACTGTGTTGCTGTTCGACAGTAGGTTCAAACATAACAAATTCTTTAATCTTTGCAAATAGTAGAAATATAATTAAGAAAAAATTGGAATTCCTAAATAACGGCAAAATTGAAATTGTTGCAGGCTCTGTGTTATTATGCCTGTTAATATACGGTTGTAGTTTTTGCAATCTACCGCCCACGCATTCTTGAGCCGGCTGATGTTAGAAACATCCGCTGATGTATTTATACGGAATCAATCTTAATTTTTATACTTGTTTACATTATTCACTTGATTATTCGTATTATCCATAAAATACCATTAAATTAATCAGAAGCAGCAAAT